TCTTGAAACGGAAGATCACAGAGAGAAGATACGCGGAGGCCTGCCGAGGCTGGTAGCATGCCTTAGGTGTTTGGTTCGCGAGGTGAACGGGTACATAATGAAGACACGTGAGACAATGGTCACGAGCCAGCGACAATCTTCAAATGGTAGCACGGCGATAACGATGTACGAAGTCCTTGTGAGACAGACAAGCACATACAGGGTATACCTGTACCAAGTAGAATGGGTTGGGGATAAGTCTGGTGCTTGGGCTTCCAATAGTGAGACTGTACCCCGTATCCTTGACTCTACTCGGTACTCACCAGTACCTCAGAGTCGACTTGTACGATATTCTTCTCGATTATCAAGTGCATACAAAGTCCTCGGTACCTGGAACAAATTCCGCCTCTCGAGTTGAATCTATCGGGCGCCTGTCATAGCAAAAGAAGAAAGCGGACCGATGAATGAATGGGGAGTTGTTCTCACAAACCTGATTCACCGAGGATTCACACCGCACCCCAAATAGTTCCCACTATGACCCTTCACCATCGCCTCAGCGGCGCAGGACAAAACATCATAAGAACTGAATTTTGATCGTCGCAGACTACACATCTGCATTGTACCAGCAACTTGGTACATCCACACCATCCTTCAAGATGACACGCCTACGGCTGCGGTGACACACCATTTCCTCTTACTTTCCAGTCCTGTTTTCTAGGCTGTCGGGAGCCGATCTTTTGTACTGCCAGCTCTACCCCCGCAATTTTTCGACGTTGACGTATTTTTTCCTTATTTCAAGTTGCAATATAAAAACAATACCCATTTGCGTTGAAACCGTCCGGCTTCCACCATGGGGAGACAGCCAGCTGTAATCTTTGTTGTCCGGTACGATTACCTTCCATACATGCTCTTCTGCTTTCAAGTACTCCTACTAACGCGGTTTCAATAGTCATGGAGCCCGTCTAGACCAGGCTGATAGGAACTGGGCTGCCACAGCCTCAGCACCATATGACCCTCCTCTATCCTACGGCGGTTGGATCCAGTGCCAGTCTCTCGGCTTGAGGATCAACAACGAACTGCATATTCTCGAAAAGCAATCGAAACCTCAAAGTGATGGCAAAGAAGACGGAGCAAACGAAACCCAACCTCGCAAGAGACGGAAGATCATTATCCATAGTTCGCCATATCTGCGATGTGTCCAGTCTTCTATTGCGATTGCCGCGGGCATGCAACATCCTCAAAACCACTCTCGACCACGCATGAAGTCTCGTCAAATCTCTACTCGCTCTAGTCTCTCGCCCATGGATGAGGTGGTGCAGGCTGCGGCTCCGGACTCGGGGGATGGTGATCAAGCATTTTTCGACCGCGCCGCTAGCAAAGACAAAGGGCACACAAACCGTCTTGGGTACAATACCTGCAAGCTGCGCATTGATGCATTCCTGGGGGAATGGCAAACCGCCAGCTACTTCGACGAGGGCTCCGCTCCTCCACCCTCTGCGGTTCTCGTTTCGCAAGCCAAAATGACATTACAAATCCCGCAAGAGGAGATTAAAGGTGCCGATCTCTCAGGCTCCCCAGCCTTCAATATGCCACCGATCGACACGGAAGAGGGAGAACCTGATGCCATATCTGTGCCGGTCCATGAAAAGACTGGCCTGCGGGCTATGGCAGCGGTTGGTCATTCACTCCCAAAACGGCCACGCAACATCTCATTTGGAACCGAGTTGGCAAACGGTGCTCGAATATTAAACAGGGCTCTCCAGGCGAGTATGGGTTATGGCCCTCCCATACCGAATTATGCAATTGGGCCCTCAGACAAAATTCCGCCGGGATTTGTGGCTCATGCGCGGGATTCGTGTGTCGAAATTGACGGTCAGTGGGACAGCCAGAGTGAGCCACTTGACTGGGGTGATGGTGGGCCTTTTGATGAGGACTGGGGCAAAATGCACCGGCGGTTCCGCAATGGTCTGCAGAAAATGATCGCATTCTACGAGAACCAAGCTGGCTCAGAAGCAGGGAATAGTGATGATCAGGATGACGACGAAGATCTCGTGATCATCCTGGTCACCCATCAAGCTGGCTGCAATGCTCTGATCAGATTGCTAACAGCTGCACCAGCATTGCGGGATGTGGGCCTGTCTTCCTTGTCTATGGCGGTGAGGAAAGAGACCCAGCAGGCACCCCCAGAACCTTCATCGCCGACTCGTCGAAGGGGCTCTCTCGATCTGACCATATCGGAGGACTACGACATGAAAATCATAGCCTCTACCGAACATCTCCGTGGCGCATCAAACCCATTGGGGTTGAACTCGCCTCGACTTGGAAAGTCGCCAGCATTTGCCAGTCGTCGGGCGGTGGGAGCCGATTCTCCAGAAGGATTCAGTCTGGGGGAGTCAATGGCGCCGCGCGGCTCTGTATCGATGATGCCTGCTAGAAGCATCAGTCAACGATCCCATGCTGCAGACACGATGGACTCCTCTGAACCTCCTACAGGTCTCTGGCGACGCGGAAGTCGGTATTCCCGCGATGAAACTGCAGAGTCGTCGAGTGATGCCTACGCAACACCCAATTCGCTGAGTGTTGGACGTTCAGAAAGTATACAAGAGGAGTTCCCGCTCTGGAACGGCAGCGGAACGAACAGTGAAGCGAGAGGCGATACCGAGAAATCGGACTCCTCCCTCTTCCCTGTTCGTAGTGCGAGTCAGGCGGGACTCTGGGGTGGTGAATCTTCGATCAGGAGAGAGAGAAGCCCTGGGAAGAGGCGGTGGACCGCAGTTGAGAGATCCCCCTGAAAATGGCAGATCACGAAGCATGAGTGGGATAAGACGTAGTAGACTCTTGGGCCGGCCTTCCTGGAATATCCGCGAACCAGATAATGTAATATGATAATGACACGTTGCTCGCTCAAGACAACGACGAGGAACTTGTTTTGGAATGTGATCATGACGCGTTTTACCCTTGTTTGACTCAAGACAGTTGTCAGCCTTACCTACTCTGCGATGTCCTCCCGGACAGTGCGATCCACGGTTGATCCACCACCGTGATCATGTCACTTTTTTGACAAATGCCGACATCTTCTCTGCGACGATCTCGAAGGCCTCCTCGGGCAAATAGTGACCATAGCCATCTCCCACGCCGTACCCTTCATAATCGACTCCATCTGCGATCCAGCCTTTCCATGTGCTTTCGACGTCAATGCGTGCCCCCAACTTCGCTTTACTAAACATGACGAGCAATGGCACGCCGACTTTCCTTCCTGCCTTCTGGTCCTCGTCTTGCTCCGTCGCCTCAGGAGCCGCACCCGCCGCGTAGTCGAGAGAGGAGTAGTAGATGACATCCTTGTCACTGAACAGGCCAGCGTACACGTCGAGGGCGTCGTGAGACGAGATTCTGTCCAGCGCTTTCGGGTTAGGGCCCGAGATGCGTGTGTGCGCTTCCCTTGCCCATCTGCCGCCGCCGTACGCAGAGATCATCTCTGTCGCCAGGTCGGCGTTGGCCAGGAGTGGCCAGTGAAAGTACCCCTGGCATATGGCCGGGTCAGAGAAGGCGGTCCACTGTTCCTTGGTCGGGATTATATCGAGCAGGATCGTGCCGGGGATCGTCAGATTCAAGTCCTTGTACAGCGCGGGTGAGGATTGGTTTGGGTGGGAAAAGTCGACTGAAAGACGGTGACTGATGCGTGCGCCGCGATCGTGACCGCCTAGAACGACGCGTCTTGGAGAAGATGCCGTTCTGGTCTTGAAGACGTCTGCGAGGGCCTCCAGCAAGGCGGTGCCTACAGCGCGCTTTGTATTCGATGCCGGATCCCGGATGGGCGTCGAAGTGCCATAGCCTGGAAGTTCGGGAACGAACAAAGAGAACTTGCCTTGAAGGAGAGGGACGACCTGTTGTATTGGTATTGGTTAGCCTGTTAAAGCGAGGGTGGTGTTGCACTATGAGGGTAACACCCTGCCTGCTAAAGGAAGACTGCATATTGCATGCATGTCCGCAAGGCTGGGACAAGTGGGGGAAAACCGACATGACGCCACCTAGGTTACAAACAGGTCAGCCTCGCCTAATAGTCATGGTTGGAAGGATCACTCACTCATAAGCAGATTGAGGATAACCATGGATTAGAGTCAGTATAGGAGAGTCGGGACCCAGGTCGGAGGTATAACTATGGACCTCTGAGCCCGAAGACGTCTTGGTGACATTGTGGGTGAGTTTGAGCGAGGAGTAAAGCGACTGTGTCTTTGCTGCGGCCATAAGGATCTGGCTGTCTGTAATCAAATGAAACAGGATCTGGAAGGAAGATAGAAACTCAAAGTCTATTCTCCTCCTGCTTGGAGACTTCTTATATGTATCTCACCTTGTCCGCTGGGATGACTTGATCCGAGCAGATTCTGTATTATTCTTGCTATATAACAATTACTAAACTCGATTGCTCGGTACTTAATAAGGCAACTCACAAGCAAGGTGGAGGATTGACTCGGGAAAATGACCTACAAGCATTCTCGTGCACCTCAGACAGGGGAGCACGGGAGCCAGTCACGTCAGTTCAGAGGCCGACAGGGGGGGAAGAGTAGGCGCACTAGCCGCCGCATCGGGGGTAAAGGATCGTAACTCTAAGGGGGCGCGCGTCAACGAGACAAAGCCGAGAAACAGGGAGAAAACAGGGTGTCGCTGCAGGCACGCCTGGCACTTTGCATCTGCACCGCGCGTGTATGCCTGACACCTCGACGACTCCCAAAACGGAGACCTCCAAAAAGTATCCTAGGATCACTCGGGAGTCAACGTTGGACTTTGACTGCGCTTCCCATTTCAATCTTCACCATTGTCCCCTTTGACCCCAGGTTTTCCAATCGCGTCTAGTCCGCCAACATTGAAACTCCCGCGATCCTGAATTTGCCCTGTTTACCAACCTTGACCCGCGCAGTCGGGCCAGCATTTCGCAGAACTGATGCTTTCCGCCTGGCCAGATTGACAACGTCGAGTCCTGACTAAAACATGGCGTATGCTCTGGCAACCCTTCCCTCCTTATGATGTCGGCACTGACCACGAATTTTAGTTCTGGCGCAGGGAGCAGCGGAGGCGGGAACAACATTAAAGGTTCGATAGAGATCCCCTTGGGCCAGTGTTCTGTCCAGTCCCTTGCTAACTGCCTCTACCAGTTGTTGCCCGTTTCCGTCCTCAGAATAAAGTCGAGCTCGCAAATGGCGGCCAACCGGTCGTCCAGTTTATGGGCGAAGACACGGTCCAGCTTCAGGTAGACTGCTGCCCATTGACCTTGACCGCATCGCATAACAGCCCAACTCACATACTTGCAGTCCTCCGAAACCAATGCCCCCTTTACCTTCGACCGAGTCTTTGACATGTCCTCGCAACAAGCCGATATATTCGATTTCTCCATAAGGTCAACGGTTGAAGATGTGATGAATGGTTACAATGGCACCGTCTTCGCCTACGGTCAAACAGGTGCTGGAAAGTCTTATACAATGATGGGAGATATGGACGATGCGGACAAGAAGGGTATAATTCCTCGCATTACCGAGCAGATATTCGATTCCATCCTCGTTCACGGCTCGGCGCAAATCGAATACACCGTGGGCATCTCCTACCTGGAAATTTATATGGAACGTATACGAGACTTGCTGAACCCTGTCATGGACAATCTTCCCATAAACGAAGGACCAAGGGGCCCGTACGTGAAAGGACTGCGTGAAATCTATGTCAACACGGTGGAGGAAGTCTATACAGCTATGCATCTGGGGCAGAGATCACGAGTCACCGCATCTACCAACATGAATCTGGAGTCGTCACGCTCGCACTCGATATTCTTGGTCACCATCAATCAAAAAGATGTCAACACCGGGTCGCAAAAGAGTGGAATGCTATATCTTGTGGACTTGGCAGGTTCAGAAAAGGTCGGCAAGACGGGTGCGAGTGGACAAACATTGGAAGAGGCGAAGAAAATCAACAAGAGTTTGAGCGCGCTGGGAATGGTCATCAATGCTCTGACTGACGGCAAATCAACACACGTCCCCTATCGAGACTCCAAATTGACCAGGATCCTGCAAGAAAGTTTGGGTGGTAACTCAAGGACAACCCTGATTATAAACTGTTCCCCCAGCAGCTACAACGATGCCGAGACTGTCAGCACCCTGCGATTTGGTATGAGAGCAAAGACGATCAAGAACAAGGCCAAGATCAACGCCGAGTTGAGTCCGGCGGAGCTCAAGCGCCAGCTCAAACTCGCTCAGAACCAGACCATGACGTTTGAAAAGTATATTGCCTCGTTGGATTCCGAGTTGCAGCAATGGCGAAAAGGCGAGACTGTCCCCAAAGAAAAGTGGGTGCCTCCGTTGGGTGGCTCAGGACAAAAATCGGAAGCCAAAGCAAGACCAGACACACCCTCGAGGGCACCTTCAGAACTTCTCCGGTCAGACACCCCCAGTCGACCCGATTCTCGGGCTGGCGAAAGATCAAGTACACCCAGTATTATACTCGAGAAAGATGAGCGAGAGGAATTTCTACGACGAGAGAATGAACTTCAAGATCAGCTTACTGAGAAGGAAACACAGGTCGCTAATGCAGAGCGAAGCCTTCAAGAGGCTCGAGAGGAGCTCAAATCATACAAGGAAGGTGCTATGCGGACAGCCAAAGAGAACGAGAGCATGGCAGATAAACTGAACAAGACACAACTGGAGCTGCAGAAGCTGTCGTACCAGAGCAAGGAAGACGCAATCACCATGGAGGGCTTGAAAGACGCGAACTCGGAATTGGAGGCGGAGCTGATTTCAGTCAAACAGCAGTTGCTGGACCTCAAGATGAGCGCCAAAGAGACCACAGCGGCTTTGGACGAAAAGGACCGCAAGAAGAAAGAGAAGATGGCCAAGATGATGGCGGGCTTTGACCTCGGTGATAGCGCGTTCTCCGATAATGAGAATCGTATGCGAGAGATGCTCGATCAAGTGGACGCCTTGCATGCCGCCAGCCTCAGTGGCGAAGCTGTACCGAGCCATCTTCTGGAAGATCTGCGCTCGAAATTGTTGGAATCACAGACGCTAGTCCGACAAGCAGAGAAATCCCTCAACGACCGTGCCGAGGACGAGCACGAGGACCGAACACTTGGACTGGAAGAGAAACTAGCGGCGGTGCAACAGGATTATGAAGATTTGTTGACTCGAAATCTTGGCCCGGAAGATGTGGAGGATGTCAAAGGACGGCTCGAGCAATTGTTCTCAGACCGCCAGGAAACGCAGAGCGAACTGGTCCATGACTTACGAGATCAACTTACCCACAAGTCCCAAGAAGTCGAACGGTTACAGAAGACCATTACAGATCTCCAGTCAAGGGGTGCGGCCAATGGAGCTGGTGCGGCCAACGGCGGCACGAGCAAGACGTTGCAACAACAAATCGCCGACTTTGAATCGATGAAGAAGAACCTGATGCGGGATCTGCAGAACCGGTGCGAGCGGGTGGTGGAGTTGGAGATTTCACTCGACGAGACGCGGGAGCAATACAACAACGTGCTCCGCTCGAGCAACAACCGCCAACAGCAGAAGAAGATGGCATTCTTAGAGCGCAACCTGGAGCAACTTACGGTGGTACAAAGACAGCTTGTCGACCAGAATACGAGCCTGAAGAAGGAGGTCGCGATTGCGGAGCGCAAGTTGATTGCCCGGAATGAACGGATACTGAGTCTAGAGAGTCTGCTGGCCGACAGTCAAGACAAATTGACAGCAGCGAACCACAGGTATGGCGCCGTCATTGTACTTTCACAAGACTCGGAACTAACAGGGGTTCACAGGTTTGAAGCACAACTTGCTGCCGTCAAGGAGCGTCTGGAAGCAGCCAAGGTATCCTCGAGAAACATGGCAACTGCTGGGCCTGGAGCGACCGGTGGGTTCAACAGCCTAATGAACGCTGGTGCACGGATAGCCAAACCTCTTCGCGGCGGCGGCGGAGCAGCATCGAATCTTGATGGAGCCAATGGTGCGCCCAGCTTACCCATTATCTCGAATCTGAGCGGATCAGAAGGCAACAAGCGGAGCAGTTGGTTTTTCAACACAAACCGGTGAAAACAGAGGAGAAACAGTGTCCTTTTGACCGCGTTTGCTGGATGATAGCGCTGATCTGGTTAAGTTTGGGGTGCATGGAGGGTGCATAGAAGGTGCTACAGAGACTGCAATCGGCATGAGGAGTGGACGTTTGCTATGCTGGGCTGACTGACGGGCTACATTTGGTATGCGGAGGTTTTATGCATCATGAGCGACGGCGACCTTTTTGATGAGGGCTTTTGGCTGACTTTTGATGGGATACATGACCTGAAAGATGGCCCTTTTCCTATCAACCCCGTTTTGTACATCTGTGTGAAGAAACTAGATAAATTGCCAGAATAGCAGAACTCGGAACTGAGTGTAACATCTACTGGGTTGGGACGAGAATGTGCCGTGTAGCAGGTCGGGTGTTTTAGGTGGTGGTGTTGAAGTGCGCGGACCAGGTATATTCACCCATAGCTGGGGGAATACCGAACAATGCTAAGCATAACTCCTAGACCTAAGGTCTTTCTCAGCAAATGCCATAACGCCGAAGATATACTTTGTATGCGCGCGCTGGTATCTCTCCATCAGGCAGTCCATCAGTGGAGCCCCGCGGGGATTAGACTGTAGAACCTTTGTTAGAATCCTTTCTCAGTGCTACAATATACACACAAACCCTGCCACTCACCCATTCTCCAACATGGATGATACTCTCAATCTGGCGTGTCTGGCAATCCTGGCCATCAGCACTACCCACTCACTGCCAGGCAGAAGCAATACTGTCAACCTCCTCCCCGGCACCATGGCCTCGCGAACAGCAAACCTCGACTCAACTCGGCACGCGTGAGAGATCGTCACACCCTCGAGACCAGGCACCAGGCCAGGGTATGACAGGCTGGGCTACACCATAATCTCACACAATGACCTCTGAGTGCCTCCTTGCATTTTCCCTGCGGCCAGATTTGTGGAGATCGGCTTTCGGGTCTGAATAATATCCCCAGAACAATGCCGCTATTCGGGGCCAATTGCACAGCCTTGCGACGATCAACGGAACCGCGGGGGGAAAGACATATAGGATGCGCATGAGCACGTTTCTCGACGTAAGAAATGGCATCACAGGTCTCTTGAAACTCGAATACTTCGTTCAGAATCTGCGGTTTCTCATCAGGAATGTTGCGCTATACAAGGCTATTTGTGCTGTGTGCTCTGCTGCTGCACAGCCTCGCAGGCGCCGCTCCAGGCAGCAGCCACTTCAGGGTGTTTGAGCAAGTCGCTGGCATTCCTGAAGGCTGGTACCAAGGGCCACGAGCACCAGCGCTCGCATGTCTCAAACTCCACATCGCGATTCGCCAGGATGACAAGCACACTTTCCTCCAAGATCAGTTGCTGAGGATATCCGATCCCGACAACGAGCTGTACGGCCAACATTACGAGGCCCACGAGCTCGACGCACTCTTACGTCCCGAGCCGGCAATTTCTAACGCTGTGCTTGACTGGCTTGAGGAACAAGGAATTTTGGCGACAGACGTGCAAGACAATGGAGATTGGATCAATGTCAACACCACCGTCATGCAGGCAGAGAGTCTACTTGACACTACCTTCTTCTTGTTCTACCACGCAGGAGACAAAAGCTGGCGGATTCGCACCCTCGAATACTCCGTCCCTGATAGGCTTCATGCTTACATCCAAACGATCCAGCCGACGACCCATTTCGCCCGTTCGCGGGCGGCCCAACAACCCGGTCCTCCTGCGAGCTCGATCCCCGTCTACGGATCACCAACCAAACTGAATGCGACATATTGCAACACGACCACCTCACCAGACTGTATCCGTGCGCTGTATGGTATAGGCAACTTCCGTGCCAATGCCAGCTCCGGCTCGCGATTGGGGATTCCCGCATTTGCGAGCCAAAACGTGCTCCGATCCGACCTGGCCCTGTTCGTGGACAAATGGGCACCGTACGCGCGAGGTGCAAACTTTTCCATCACATCCGTGAATGGTGGTGTTAATAACCAATCCACCGACGCGGACTGGGCCTCAGAAGCCAACATGGATGTCCAGTACGGTCTGACGCTCTCGTATCCGACGCCGGTGGACTTTTACAAGGTCGGCGGCAGGGGCCCGTGGATTCCCGACCTGCAATTGCCAGACAAACCAGGCGTGCTGAACGAGCAGGAGCCGTTCTTGGAGTATCTGCAGTACATGGTCAATCTAACCAACGACAAACTACCGCAGGTGATCAGCATCTCGTACGGGGAAGACGAGCAGACTCACCCCGTGTCCTACATGCTCAGTGTGTGCCAGTTGTTCGCCAAGCTGGGCGCTCGCGGTGTGAGCGTCATCACCTCCAGCGGCGACGGCGGTCCAGGGGATGGCTGCATGACCAACGACGGGCGCAACCGGACGAGGTTTATGCCACAGTTCCCCGCCAGCTGCCCGTGGGTCACGAGTGTGGGCGGTACGGGCCAGGTGCAGCCAGAGATCGCTGAGCGAATGTCTGGTGGGGGCTTCAGCGACGTGTTCGCCCGGCCGGACTACCAGCGCGAGCACGTCGAGACGTATCTGAACAGCACCGCCGTCAAGAACAAGTTTCAGGGCCTGTACAATCGGACTGGGAGGGCCATCCCGGACGTGGCTGCGCAGGCGTGGACGACGTTCCCCATCTTCCATCTCGGCCGGGAGCAATTGAGCGGGGGCACGAGTGCCGCCACGCCTACCTGGGCCGCCATCATCGCCAACATCAACTCGGCCCGCCTGTCCCGGGGCCAGAAGCCGCTGGGCTTTTTGAACCCCTGGCTCTACACCAAGGCCTACACCAACAAGGCGGTCACGGACATCACAGAAGGGTCGTCCAGCGGATGTGAAAACGTGACGAACTCCGGTGACGATGCGCCAGGGGTTCCTGGCGCTGGGTGGCAGGCGGTCAAGGGCTGGGATGCTGCCACGGGGCTGGGCACGCCGGACTTTCCAAAGCTGCTCGATTTGGCCGTGGGGAAGTGATCATGATGGCGGATAGCTATTGGGGCGATTCAGTACTCTCCGTAGACGAGGGAGAAGAGATGAGCATTAGCCATAAGTATGGTGATTCACTGCAAAAGCGGCGCAGGCAGCACCAATATTGTTGGTAAAAGCTCGGTGCGCGCAGAATGCCGCTTTTGACGGTGTCGTGCTTCTACAGGCGGGAGGCTTTCCAGATGAAGTTAGCGTAGTGCGCAACTGCTACGTCACCACAACAGCAGCATATCCTCTGCTCAGAGTTTCTCCCTAGTGCAGCCTTTGTCAGCTTTTCAATCAACTCAACACACCATCTCCCCGGGCATCCTCCCCAATCACGCTGTAATGCATAATGGCGTCAATCCCCCTGTCTGGCGAGCGACAGCCTTACTTGCTGATGGAGCATTTTCTTAATCCAGCAACTCAGGGTTTCCCCTCGCGTCCTGGGCTGGTCCTCACCCAGCTCGACGAACCTATCACTGGGTTAGACGCTGGTCGCTGCATTTGCATTCGGTGCCGTTGTGATGCGCTTGTTACGAAATGGGCAACGTCTCATCCTTGCACATCCATCGATGTTTACATTTCATGACTCCAGGGCTTGTGCTGTGCCGCGCAGTATGTTAATGGAGATGTTGGTCGGATACGCCCTGGTGAGCACGAACAAAAGGTATAAATGCGTGAGTGAGCACCCCTTTGGCAGGATGGAAGACCACGCAGTCAAATACCGGATCACCTATCTAGTGGAAAAATAAACCGAGTCTCAACATCAAATCACTACCTCTAGTATAATATCAAACCTTGCATAGTCTAGCTGGTCGAGCACACTCTACTCACAGCCATGTCTGACACCGAAACCATGCAAGCCATCGTCATCACCGCCTTTGGCGGTCCAGAAGTCCTCCAACACAAAACCGTCCCCAAACCCGCTCCTACTCCGGGCCAAGTGCTCGTCCACGTGAAAGCATTCGGCCTAAACCACGCCGAAATGCACATGCGCAAGGGCGAATGGGACGAATGGAACCCCATCTCCGGCCTCGAATGCGTGGGCATTGTAGAGGCCGATCCTTTGGGGAAGTTTCAGAAAGGCGACACGGTGGTCGGAGTGATGGGTGGCATGGGTCGGAATCGACCAGGTGGATATGGCGAGTTCGTCAACGTCCCCGTCGCGAACGTGGTCAAGGTCAAGACCAACCTCTCTTGGGAGCAACTGGCCGCGTTGCCTGAGGTGTATTCCACGGCGTATTCGTGCCTCTTCACCATCCTCGACCTGCGCAGGGGCGAGAGGGTCCTGATCCGCGGCGCCACAAGCACCATCGGTCAAGCGGCAGTTCATCTCGCGGTGAATGCGGGGGCCAAAGTGACAGCAACCACGAGACGACGGGTGCGGTTCGACATGTTGACGAAGATGGGCGTGGAAGACGCGGTCCTCGAGGAAAACCCGCTCAGCCAGCGCTTCCTCCCAGACCACAAATTCGACAAGACGCTCAACCTGATCGGCAACATCGCCCTGCTCGACACCCTCCGCCTCACCCGCGCTGGGGGCCGGATGCTCCAGGCCGGATGGCTGGGTGGGCTCGCGCCCGTCAAGGATTTTAACCCAATGATCGAGATGGAGCCGGGCGTGCACTTTAGCCTGTTCCACAGCAAAGTGCTAGGCACGGATGACTTTCCCATGGAGAAGATTCCCCTGCAAGAGATTGCGGACAAAATCGAGAGGGGGGAGTGGGACGCACGGCCGACACATGTGTTTGAATACAGGGATATACAGAAGGCGCATGCGTTGCTGGACAGTCATGACGCGGGCGGCAAGATTGTGATTAAGCATTGAATTGCATTGAGATTGAGACTGTTATCAGGAATGACATTGAGGATTACGAGATGATGTCCCTACCCAAAAAAAAAACATGGATATCTGCCGTGGATAATGAGTCATCTTTGATAGAATGAATCCATTAACTGGAGATACATTTAACAGATAAGTTCGAAGCAGATCAGCGAGTCGCCTTCCTCGTCAGAGATAGAATGAGTCGAGTTCCACAACAAAGAGTCAAGACTGACCAGCCCAACGTCCTGTACATGGGACGACATGACTATTACTGGAAGGGTGTGTTAGTATACTTTACCAAGATAGATAGATCTTTTTAAGAAGTAGAGCCTCGTAGTCATAGAATATATATATCTATATATCGTCCTCCCTTCTCTCCCTTCTGCTCTCCCTCCCCCCTCCATCCTATTCGCCCCCTTCCCCCCTCTGTCTATCCCTCTCCCAGTTTATGTTATATCTCGATTAAGCCTGCGGCGTGACCGCAAAGAGCTTGTTAAACACGTTCCCCGGGTCGTACTGGGCCTTGAGCCGCTGCAGGCGCGGGTAGTTGTCGCCGAAGATGTCGCGGGATTTTTCGTCGTATTCTAACACACCAAGCGAGGATTAGTTAGTCAGGCAGTTAAATATAGGTATCCAGCTGGGGGAATGGAGATTATGGAATGAATAGTGTCAAAAAACCAAAAGACAGGGTAAAAAGGAAAAGGCAAAAACTCACGGTCATAATTCCCATAGAGCATCGTGGCGCCCTTGTTCCCCTTGAGTCCCACGCCCCCGTCCACCCCTTTGCCAGCCTGCTTGGCCTGGTCCTCCAGCTCGCGCTTGAACAGCGCGGTCAAGTCCCTGGCCCACTGGCGACAGGAGGCGTCGTGCTCGGGCTTGGTCCAGATCGGGCAGACCATGCCGTTGAGGTGCCAGCCGCGGTTTGCGAAGCTGCCGGCGTCGTGCGCGACGACCTGGCTGGGGTCGTAGACCTCGAAGAGCACGAGGCTGATGCCCGTGTCGTCGTTGCCGTCGGTGAAGGCCGTGTACTCGCGGCGGACCTCCTCAACAAACCCCGCGCGCAGCGGCATCGTGAACGCCGTGCCCTTCATGCTGGCGCGCAGCCCGATCGGCGGCGCCAGCACCGTGTTGATGACCGGGTACGCCACCGTGGCCGTCGTGTCGACCACCGGCCCGATGTCGTACAGCGCCTTGTACTGCGCCTTGGCCTCGGCCTCGCTGCCAAAGTAGATGACCACGGCCATCAGCATGACCTGGCCCTGCGCGGGAGGTGGTCGAGCGAACGCGATCCCGCCGGCGCCCCGGCCGGCGACCTTGGTCTTGCCGTGCTCGTCGGGCGTGTACAGGTCGTTGGTAGCCTTGACCACTTTCTCGATGTTCTCCGGCGTGGGCGGGTACATGAGCATGCCGGCGAAGACGTCGCCCTGATCGTACGCCTTGAGGACGAACTCGGTGACGACGCCAAAGTTCTGTCCCGCGCCCTGCAGCGCCCAGAACAGGTCCGGGTTCTCCTGGGCGCTGGCCTTTTTGATCTCCCCCGTCGCGAGCACGACGGTGCATTCGACCAGGTTATCGATGGCCAGGCCCCGCTGGCCCGAGAGCCACCCGTAGCCACCACCGAGGGTCAGCCCGCCGACGCCCGTGTCCGCGACCGTGCCCCCCACGGTGGCCAGGCCGTGCTTCACGCCAGCCTGGTCGACGTCCCCCCACGCAGCGCCGCCCTGGATGAGGAAGACCTTTTTGTCGAGATCGACGTCGACGCGCTTCATGCCGGTGTTCAGATCAATCAGCAACCCGCCGTGGGTGCTGCTGACGCCGGCTGTCGAATGGCCGCCGCCCTTGACGGCCAGGTCGATCCCCTTGTCGGCGGCGAACTTGACCGCGACGGCGACCTCATCGGCCGTGGTGGGGACGACGACCACGCCCGCGGGCTTCTCGGCCGCGTTGGACCAGCGCTTTATCGACGCCGCGTAGGATGCGTCCTGGGGGGTGAGGACGGCGGCCTTGGTCGACGCCAACAGCGACTTGAGACTCGAGATGTCGTCGTCGGTGACGGTCCGCTTGGAGGATTGTGCGGTGGTGGAGCCCATAATACCAACTACCTGCCTATGTACCTAGGTAACTAACTGACTTCGTGCCCAACTCGCTGTTTTATGCGATGTTATGTGATGTGTTCAATGCGTGGGTAGGTCCTTGGTTTATCGACCAGAACACGAGCACGCAGAAAGCCAGATCCCTCCGAGTCTCGGAATGGTTCTGTTAGAGTAGATTGAAAAGGTGTATAAAATCCAACCCTCTCTGCCAGATAGATAGAAAAACCCCTCTAAGAAAGTTGGTAGCGGCCCGCAGTCAGCAGCCAGACAGGATAGGTTATATATTTACGATTCGGTAAGAGGTACATGCATCCCATCATAATGTTCTCTTACATATTACATGCTCAACTCTCCTCTCCTCATGGGCTGTCGAGAGCGGAAATGGGACCCTTCCCCCCCTAAGAGAGCGGCTAAGGTACCTAGGACATAACTCGGTATAATACATCAAGTACATAAGCAAACGCCAATCCTCTTGACCCCATGGTTGTGGTTTCTTCGGCTAGATGGGAGTTGTCTCCAACGCAAACACCAACATGGAACCCATCTGTACCCAGCCGGGGCCATCCCATCGCTGATGCCTTGAGAGATTGGAATGCCTTGGGATGCCTCGCCCAGACCCAGAAACTCTTATCCTCATTCACTTACTTACTTCATCATTTCTCTTCGTATTCAATTGTACCCCGAGCCTTAGGTTTTGTAGGTCTCTCCTCTCGGGTCTTGGTTATAGTCTTGGGCCATGGTCTTGGGCTGGAAACCGCCTACGATTGACCAAGAAAAATGCTCATTGAACGAGTTCGACCGTGTTTACGAATACGTCGTTTTCGGTTCCTCACCATCTTACGAAAGCCATCTTACACCTTAGTCGATATTCAAGAATAATGGCATTAGCAGCATCAGCAGCAGCATCAGTTCAAGCCATCAGGCAGCAGTATACGAAGCAAACGTGCTACATTTTACAGATTATCGTCCTGGACAGCTTCAGGTTCCCCCCCCACCTCTTGTCCTCCTCGTTAACCCCGCTGTGGATTGCCAGGTCAAAGTTTGGATTCATGGCAGTGGAACCCAAAATGTCGGTGCCAGGTCCACGATGACCAAAATAGAAGGAGAGCCTAGAGGGGAAGTTAAAGGGACCGACTGGGTATTTCTTTGTTCATGTCGCATTACGATTCAACCAAAAGCTCCGTTGCATAATATCCAGCTTCAAGACATATCAACCATACCACACCTTACCACTCGGATTATGATCCCCCAATCTTCGTGCTCAATTGTAATTTTGCTTCATAGTGGCCAGCAGGCTCTTCTCGTTGCCACCTTGAGAGTCGTCGAGTTGAGGAATCCTCCCTTCTCGCTCAGCTCGGTCCATCGCATCAGGATCATCAACATTGACCCCAGCAACCTCAGCCTCCACTTGTCGAATGGGTCCCTTGAACCACTTTCTAGCCCACAAGAACCAGCTGCCCAAACACCATACCGCGATGATCCCCACCGCGACTGGAGTGTAATTGAGCGTCTGTGAGTTAACAGGATTGAGCTCTGGCAGGCAGAAAACGATGGTGATGAAGCCAATCCACAAACAGGCAACCAGGGCCACTGGTCGTGATGCCCATTTGAGATTAAAAGGCCCGTGAATGAACCCCTGAGGATTGATCACACCGATCAAGATAGGAAGCCCATACGATAGATAGAGGCCAATGGTGGCGATCGAGGTCGCCGCCGCGAATGCGACTGATGATCCAAGACTGGGAATGGCCAGAAGAAATGCCAGTGTCGCAGCCAGCCAGATAGCACGGATGGGACTGCGGAATCGTGCATCCACTTTATGAAAGAAGTGAGGGATGCCGCCATCACGAGCAAAGCTGAACATCATTCGCGAGTTGGAGGTCAGGCTGAACAGACCACAGTGCCAAACGCACACGATAATCAGGACAAAGAGCACGATGGCGCTTGTCTTGCCAAAGACATCGACCAGGATCTGTAGAACCGGTTGACCGTAGTCCGAGCCGATGGTGGCTTGGAAATCCTGGATGCTGAATAAAAGGCACAGGATCAGAAACCATCCGAACACAGCAGAGCAGCCAATCGACATGAGAACACCGATGGGCGCCGACCAGGACGCATTTTGCGTCTCCTCAGACAGATGCGCACTATCACAGGTTAGTATTGGACCGTGTCGCTTCGTCAGAGATGGCCTACCTAGCATCAAACCCGGTAATGGTATATTGTGACATCAGGATACCAATGCAGGCAACGTAGGCTGAAGATGCCCGGACGGACCAGCCTGGATCACCAGTGCCATCGTAGAACGTGGCAAACACAAATTTGGCAGACTGATGATGAGGAGCCTTAGCCACAACCGCCACGGCGAAACTGAAGACTCCCAGAGAATGCAGAACTATGGAGCTGTTGTTCAAGTACCGCAGAATGTGTACGCCAAACGAATTGACTATGCCATGCGAGGTCAAAAGCGCCGCATAAATGCCCAGAGTTCTGCCTGCCGTTGGCTCGTAACCGTTGATACTTGCCAAGGTGGAAATCAGTCCTGCACAGCCAAAAGTGATGCCCGTGGTGACGGCGACTTGGCCCAGCAGATTGAACCATCCTGTGACCCAACTCGCGAACGGAGCCCAGGCCTTGGGTGCCAGAATCGCGGCCCAGAAGTATGGCCCTCCAGCACTTGGTATCGCAGAAACAATTTCAGCCATGCCTAGTCCGACGAACATGGTGAAGAACGAAACAACCAGCCAGCCACAGGACATGACACCCGGCCCGCCAGTATTCAACCCATAGCTGAACAGCGTCGTTATACCAGTAATGACAGAGATAATAGAGAACGAGACGCCAAAGTTGTGAATCATCGACCAGTCACGCTTTAGTTCCTGCTTGTATCCGAGTTCGCGCAGACGGCCTTCATCCTTGGACATGGTCCGGGCGGCAGTGCCCGCGTTCTCGGCGTCCGTCATGCTGGGCGCTCGGGCGGATCGCGGTCAACCAGCGATAGTCTTCGAGCTTGTATTCCTGGAGAATGCGGGGGTGGGACTTAGAACAAGAACTCGGCCTGTGTTTGCAAGAGCGCGGCACAGAAAAAGTCGCCCGTGAAGTCGGTCAGTCGTGTCGAGAGCTCCAGCAACTGGCAGACATCATTATCTTTATAACCCACAGTTCAAAAGATAGTTGCAAGCAGGGTTGCAGACGATCGTAGGGTTCTTAGCTCACTGATAACAACCCACCCAGCCAGAGCCCACGATCGAGGGCCAAAAGTTGGCCCCCCTGTCAAGCTCCAGCTAGGCGTTCCCTTTTGAGGGATGAGCACGCGAGGTGCTCCATTCAAACACCCTCGTCACCGAACGTTATCGTCAGAATAGACGCACTTCCTGGCTTCTGCATATCGGAGTCTGGACCTGCGTGCTCAGCACGTGTGCTTTCACCTGTATTGTGTTCCCAGCGACCAACAATAACAGAGCGTAAAATCCCTCGATAGGCTCAGGAGTGGCGGCTGGGTCAAAGATGGGCTAGGAATGCCTCCATTTCGTTGTTCGCATGGGCGGGTCTGTGCTCTCCCAGTCGATCGGCGCACACCAACCACCCAGCTAGGTAAAGCCGATCATCGTCCGATTGATTTCGCCATGTCACCAATGTCACCGTACGTCCTTGGCTCATCACCACCAAAAGCTCACAGATATCCCTACGGAACAGCTCCGCACGTAGTGCCACCATCCGATCGGTATATAGAGCGCTTGGCCAGCTTCAAGAATACATTCGACGTAGGGCACTTTGCTAATTCCGGGGTAAACCTCGTCCCAGTCTTCGAGAGGGGACAATTCCATTGCGGCAATGTCAATCTGCGACGTGTTTGACATGTCAATGGTTTCACCCTGCTGCTCTCCGTCCTTTACGGCACCCTTTACCCCATCTGTTCTTCCAGCAGAGGGTATGTGAGGAGCAGGTTCGTCTTCGCGTCTAGGTAGTAATGCATTGCTGTGACGTGGGGAATACAGTCTCACGTACTTTCGTCCCACAACCTGGCACAGGATATTATGATATGGGTCGTGATGGAGTGGTGAGATCGTCCATGCTGGGCCAAACCAGATATTAGCCTGGACCTCGTTTTCAAGCTCTGGTTCATCAGAACCATTGTCGGGCGGACCCGGGGCATTATGAGTGGTCTTGGGATGACTTGTCTTCTTCATGTGCCCCTTTGCCTTGCTCAAGGCCACTGGCGTGCCAGGTTCAGCAGGAGGAGCATCCAGATAGCAATAATCTGGGGTTGCAATGTCGTTTCGAAGAGCTGGGATCTGTTTAAAAAGATCGTGCTGCGCTAAATAGCCCGTTTGGACATCATCTCCAGAAACCTCACAAACTTCATTATCCCCGGACTGCAGTATGTAAAGACGTAAAAATTCTTCGAAGGGCACAATCTTCTGGCTCCAGTCATCGTCAGTGTAGCTCCGCCCAACTTCGATCGGGACGAGACGACGCCCGCCAATCGTGGCATTGAGCCAAAAGGAGGTACGCTGCCATTTCTCGAGAGCTGGCCAGTGATTTATGGTATTTGTCAAGACCACAGGTTCTCGTACCTGCAGAATATGCTGAGAGAACTTTGTGAGAGTCGGACGATCCATTTGCACAATGGGAAATTCAATGGTAGGCATGGAGACGTTCGCTGCAGGGAGATGGTCGGGAGATCCGCCCAATCCAGAGTCACCGTCGATTCGCCTTCTCTTTCGTGGGTGTGTCTTGTCTTCTTCGTCACTTACACTTCCAGTTTGTAACCTGGCAAAGATGTCGTGAATCATCTGTTCCCTTCCCAACCCTCCGGCCATGATTAACGACATGTCTAATATGGACACAATACCGTTGACATGAGTTTTCAGAGAGTCGGATAGGCTCCAGTCTTTCTGGGCCGGAAAGGTGAGGAGGCCAAGTAATTTCAACACTTTGGCGATGCTGGCGTCAGTGTAGAGACGGAACCAACAGGGTTGGACATCCTTGAAGGGAAACGTATGGAGTTTTTGGTCTGCTAGGCTGAAGAGTTCGTCAACCTGATCCATCACATTCTTGCCCAAGCCGTGTGGGAAGCATTTCTGAATAGGATCATCTTCGTCGCAACTCTGTAACTGATCTACTACTGAACGCCAGAAGGTGCCGTCAGCGTTCTCGGACATGAGAGCTCGAGAGACCTCGAGAGGCAATGAGAGACTCGAGGATGTCGGACGGTGTTTGGCGGAGGAGGTAGAGACAAACGAAAGGGATGCTGGAGGAAAATGAAGTGATTGGCTGGTGGATGGGTGCAAGGGATTGAAAAATGGGCTGCCACTCAGCCACTCAACCCCCAAACCCCATATTTGGTGCCATGTTGGCGGTTGGGCTTGGCACCACCACCTCGAAGTGAGGCAAAGCTCCCCAGGTTGCAAACTAGACCGCGACTTGACCTTCCCACTCCCACTTCCACTTCCACATTCCCGCCTTTCGTCTTCCCACCTTCTTCTGCCTTCTTCACAACCGCAAGCTGGGTGCATGTCTATCACTTTCTGAATTCTCCCATCTTGTCGCATCACATACCTTTCTTGTGGCAATTTAAGTACTATCACACCTTCCGCCCCCGTCACACCCACCTGTTTGTTGGTTCCCCTGTCCCTGCTGGGCTCTATCGTCTCCGCCTCACTCTACACCTGGGCTTGTGTCCTGCCGGCCAACTAGGTCTCTCCTGCGGCTCTTGACCACTGCATCACAGTCGCAACCTGCTTGGATCGTCGTCCGGACTTCTTTGCAGGCCCGAGTCCACCATGGCCGACGTTTCGTCTACCCGGCTCTATCTGGGCAACCTTCCGCGCAACAGTATGCTCACATCCATCCGTTCTCCCTCTTTTGGTCTTCCTGGACACTTTTACATGCTTGGAGGATAGCTGAACCCTAAACATTGAATCCGGACCCGCTCACCGCCTGTCCCGGGACTGCGCCAGTCGCTGACTCTCAGTTTCTCCTTTCCAGTCACTAAACAGGACATCGAGGAGCACTTTGGCACTCATGGCACTGGCTCTATTAAAGAGATCAAGCTCATGAATGGTTTTGGTTTTATTGAGTACGAGGACGCTATGGATGCGCGAGATGTTGTTCCAGGTAAGCCCTCTTTACCAACAGACCGATGTTAATGCGCTAACTTTCTGACAGCGTTCCGTATGGCCTCCCTCTCCCGTTCTTCCCTCTCCTCCTACGGCCCTTCCTGACAAGACAATAGATGGAACCATGTTCAAAGGCGAGCGTCTCACTGTGCAGTTTGCTAGAGGCCCGCGCCGGAAAGATGACTTCGCTGGTCCTTCTGATCGCAACGTCCCTCGACCACGTCGCACCGTCTTTCGCATGCAGATAACTGGACTGCAGCCGGACACCAGTTGGCAGGTTAGAATTCCCATTCTGCTGCATTTTTGCACAATTCCGTTTGGATTAGAGATTACCGATGAGACTTCTGTACACCTTGATTCTTGGTACCCATTCCTTGGAGCTGGTCAAGATTTCATGATGCCTGGTCCTGCTCGGAGAGATAATGCGTTGAGCTCGGGGTGCTCTATATTTTGGCTGGTTGAGAAGATCTTGTTCGGCGTTGTCTCTCACCACATCCTGCTTCCTCATTCGATCTATCCTCCGCATAAACCTGCTCACCATCTTCCAGGACCTCAAGGACTTTGCACGAAGCTCGGGCCAACTGGACGTCGTCTACTCCGAGACTGGCCGTGACCGTGATGGCAAAGGGTAATCTAGACCTTCTTTCTCAATCTGCATCTGCTCACCATTCGCCCAAGGTTTGTGGAATTCGAAACCTCGTCCGACCTCAAGACTGCTGTGGAGAAACTAGATGGACAGACATTTAAGGGAGCGACTGTTCACTGTACACCCGACGTACGTATCACCTGCCATTGCACCTTGTAATGTCACCTAACATGTTCGCCCAGATTCAAGAGGAAAGACCAGACAACCGCGCCTATCGACAGAGATCTCCGGCTCGAGGCCGATACGGACCCGGGGATGACTACGATCGCCGCGGACCTCATCCACGAGGCTGGAGCCCTCGAGGCTATCGTGAACGCTCGCCTGGACGTCGCCCACCCATTGACGACTATTATGACCGAGGCTATGGGAGGCGCACTCCGCCGCCACGGGACTATGGACCACCACCACCGAGGAGATACGATCCGGATCCTTATGATCCTCGCGGCCCACCACCGCCACCAATCCGAGGCTATGGAGATCCATACGTGCGCGGTGATCCGTACGGCAGGCCCAGATCACCTCCACGCTACGGCTATCCAGGTGGCTATGGTGGCTACGACGATCGACGATACTAGCGGGGATCACAAGGATCTCTTAACATCTAACCACTCCAGGTTCAAGGAAGACCGAAAAAGCAGCTCAGTTTTCCTGGTTTGAGAGAAAGACGAGGCGATGACGATGCAGGAGCCAAAGGAAGTTTGTATGCCGCAGGAGGTCACTTACTCTGTACTTGTCGGATCCGGGTGACCACTGCGCGGAAGATTGTCACAACAAAATTGTTTCGGTGATTTCGGTTGCAGCTTCAGTGCTTTGCACTATGGGAAAGGATCTCAAAGCCGGATTGGTTCAACTTTTCTCTGCGTGGACTCCTTCTGTAATGGATGGGACAACCCCCTACTGTTTCGGACCTTCATGACAGAGGTACGACATGAAAGCCATTTGATACCCGAGAGAACTTCATAAGGTCATAGTCTGGACGTCTTCTGTGTTACTCCAAATCGGACCAAAGGACACCACCGACTCTCGACCTTTTATTTTCACAGTACTGATTTGAGGCTGGCCATCAACGAGGAAACATCTCACTTCATGGTCTCAGGAGTTCTCCGACTCAGATCTGCTTCCACCAGCTTTCCCTGCGCATAACGTCTTCCAGCTTCCGTAGGTGAGTTTTGACCTGCTCTATCTGGCTCCGAAGTTGCGTGGTCGAGACATTCCAAGGCTTCCAACCCCGTTCACGTTCAGATCGCATGCTGCTAGCGTCTCTTGCAGCTGGCCAGATTCCCTTGGTCTGCTGTAAATCCACTTTGGACCTATCTGGTAGAGTTTGGCCCTCGAGTGATTAGAAAATAGGAGCTGGGTAAGTTCGTACTATCTCCCCCCTTCCAACCCGAAAAGTGCGTGTCTCCATGCCGCGTTGTGGACCACTTTGTAGTCCCAAAGGCATTGATTCCGTGCTTGAATGGCAGCCCTAAGCCAAGGCCGTCGACCGGTTCGAGACACGCGTAGCAGGATTGCGTCCTGATACAAATGCTTCAATATGATAAATGACGAGTGTCATCATTGTAGTCAGGCAGCTTGCATGCCTGTTCCAGGGTGGCAATGATACCTGCGCTTCCTGGAGGAAAGCACAGCCAGTCCTCCCGTCAATCTTATCTTGCCTAATTTCGGCATGGTGATGCGAGGTAGGACATTTTTGTCAAAAATCCAAAGTAATAATATAGACAATCAACGGCTTGCTTCGAGGTGAATGTCGGTTCATAGGAATCCATCCAATTTTTGGTCTATTGAAATTTTCAATCTCGCGGTTCCGTGCATCATGCGTTAGTATCGTCAGAATCGTCAAGTCATTAATTTTTATGGACAACGATTCGTTCATGTCCTTCTTCCAAAGAATTTCTTTCTCAACCCCTGCGGCCTGGATGCGTCTTTGGCTCTGGTCGGATCTTCCAGGAGGTCCTTTTCCTTTTCCCTGTGCTTGCCCTTGCCGGCCTCCGAGGCTGCGGATGCTGTGTTTGGCCGCGTCCCGGGTCCTGTTGATGATGGGGGTGTGGGTCGGACAGGTAAGGCCGTCAGGCCCGGTGAGCCTCCGTCTTGATACTGAAGCTGCGGCTGTTGCGGAGACTGTTGCTGCTTCTGTTGGGAGGCTATATGTTGTGATGCGAAATGGGTGGGTGCGACCGACGGATTCGATGTTGGATAATTCGTCATGGTGGATGTGGGAATTGGAAGTGAGTCGCTGGGGGTGGGACGATGTCCTCTCTTCGATGGAGTAAAAGCGGAAGCAGCAGCGGCAGCAGCGACAGGCGGAGGAGGCGAAATAGGAGAAGCAACAGGCGAAGCAACAGGAGTGATAGTTTCCTTGTGTTCTCTGTCTTCGTCTTCCTCGGCCACGTCTTCCATTTCTTCGTCTTCTTGCTCGTCCTCGTCGTCTTCAGCGTCATCAAACGAGCGTTCTGGGTCACCGTTGTAGACGACCCACCATCCGATCTTCTCCCCCTCTGCGATCTTGTCTCTCAGATCTGCTAGCGCTTCCCACGCTTTATTCGTTAGGCCAGGGCCGTCGGCGACAACCTCATCCAAATTGACACTCAGCGCCGTGGTATCCGCTGGCGAGTTGAAGGGTGCCGGTTTGGACATGGGCAACGTTGTGGCGCGTTGTTTCTTCTGCGGAGACTGGGCAGGGTCTACTTCCGTTGCAACATGGTGATATGCTTTTGCCTGCGCTACACCAGGTCCAGCCAAACCCATTCCCGGTCCTGCCGCGATCACCACGACTTTGTCTCCCACAAAAGCATACGGCTGGCTCACCGCGTAGGGTCCCTCCAGGTCGTCCGGATTGTATTGCTCGATAAATTCCAACCTCCTCGTCGCTGCTGGGTTCACATCGGTGTGGTCAAGTTCTTTCATTATTTCGGGGTATATCTCGCGAAAGGAACGCAGGATCTCTTCGCGCGAGTTGGAGTTTTGAATGTATTCGACACTGCAATCGTCGAGGTTGTGCAGGACAGCATGTACACGGATGCCCGTGAAGCCCTCGCGCGGCCAGCGGAAGCCATGGACAAGGTAGACCGGCATTGTTTTCTCTTTTCCTGCCTGCAGGTAATTTCACTTTGCTGCGAAATGACAGCCTCTGGAACTCTGGTCGGCAGGATGGGCAGGACGGTGGTACGATCAAAAGGAGTGGGGTTCGGCGGTGGTCGTGGGAAATGCGATACAAAGAAGGCCAAGCCACTGCGGAGATGACTGTTGGTTTTGCTTTTGCTGAAAGCAAACGATGCGTAGCTTAGACATATACACGTAAATGTGGATAAGCCAGCATGTTGAGTAGTAGTCGATGTACAGGCATGTTTCAATGCGTCCTTTTTGGTTTCGGTCGGCGAAACAAGTTGAAGACTGC